TAGCCGACTGGCCAGTTAAAGTGCCTAGCAGCCACTTTTTGTGGCTGACCGGCCACTAGCCCAATTTTGTGCAAAAATGGTTATGTTTTGGAGCAGAACAGTCTAGAATGTTGGTTCGATGTTCAAAAACTGAGGCAAGTGTAAACAGAGGCAACCGACGGCAAAGTGACGGATTTTCGGAAGGACGCAACCAAGCATGCATATCTCCCTCGCCCGCGAGGCCACTTTACATACTTTAACTAGTTAGTTGTTAGCTAATTATTTGATTTGAGTATTGTACTTGATAGCTTAGAATAGCTAGTTATTTAAATTCAATTATGTTGTAATAATTAATTTGCTTAGCATAGTTAATTAGTTGTTTTGTAATAATTAGCTTAGCTTAGCATAGCTAGTTAGCTTATTTATTCAGACCCTCTTTCGTGAGGGCAATGTTGTAATAAGTGTGTGTGCGTGTGTGTATGTCTTCCAACCCCACGTCTTTCTCCCTTTTATTTAACCGCTTTCAATGGTTAATTTTAGGGCACGTTTTGATCAACATACCTTATGCTCACATATTTGCATCCATTCATCTGTATTGCATGCACCGGGCTCCTCGCATCATTCAAGCTGCATTGTATTTCAATACTGACTTGAATACATGTATCAAATTGTCGCATTCATATGCCATCTTAGATAGCCGAGCCTATTTTAGTTGCATTATTACATGTGTTGCATTAGGCATTTTAATATAGTTAGGATCATGCATTGATTTCTAACTAGTTCTCTGTTTTGGCTTGGAGTACACTGTGAGTGTTACGCTTTAGCATCCTTGCATGAGTGTGAGTGTTGCTATGATTGCATGCTTGCCATGAGGCTATTTGCTTAAGTGATTTAACTGCATGAATGCCTGTGGATGGAGGCTTTATTGCTTGAATTGGGACAATTCATCAAATGTGAGTTTTAAGCCCACTTTGCGAAGTGGCAAAATCATCATGTTTTAAGCCCACCCGAGGGTGGCAAATCCGCACTTTAACCTACTTGTGAGTAGCACTTTCAAACCATTTTCAGAAACAAATATGAGTTGAGTTGTTCCGACTTAAGCGATTTAGTCTATACTTGTATGCTGTGCACATCACATAGTAAAGTTAGATTAATAATCAGAATAAGAATGCATGTGTCTATAAAACAACATATCATGATAGTAGAGGCCGATCCTTTGATCGGGCGAGTGGGGGTGCTCATTTCATGACCTTCCTCCCTCGTACCCAAGTTCCCGAGCCGAAGCAGATTTGGTGATGACAGACACGTGGCCTTTGGCACGAGTCAAGGTTTCCTAAATTTTTCAAAATAAAATATTTAGGTGGCGACTCTGTAATCTGGCAAAGCAGTCCAATTTTGGCATTATTTGATTAAAAATCAGTTTTTCAAAACGATTTGCCGGATTGGACTCTTTGGTGATTCATCAGTCTGACATTGCACTTTGTGAGATTAGATTCAGAACCGTGACAGAAGTCCAAACTGTAGTAACTGGAACCTAATTCGCGCCCTCTCCGAAAGGGGGGCACGCGGAGGAAGTTCGGGCGGTCTACAGTTTCTGGCGACTCTACTGGGGACTTAGAGAACTTGACTCGAACTCATGATATGTTGTTTTATTTACACTTATGTGTTTCTCTGCATTGCATTTACATTGGTGCGCTTAAGTCATAGTGTTTGTCGTCTGTTATTCCTGAATGGCTTGTCGGAGGCTTGCTTGGAAAAACGTGTCATAAGGCTGACCGGTTACGGGCTCTGCCACAATGGGAACACAAACCTTGATTTTACTGAGGCACCCTTTTTGACCATTCGACCTAGTTGCATATCGAAAGCCATAGAGACCATTCCAAACTAGGATAGGTTGCTTACCCGAATATAGGTTGTTTGAAACTGTTTACTTGCGTAGCGAACCCCTAGTTCCTAACGAAATTAAGACAGGGAAACCCTACCCCACCATTGGGATGTTTTTGCTCTCTCTTGCTTGATATGTGCTGTTAGGGTGTGTCTCTACAGAGAATGAATGTATTAGTTGCAAGTCTGGGTATCCATTTGAGGACATCAGTATTTGGGGGTATCAGTTTGAGGCAGAAATTTGGGAGTAGAAATCAATGTTTGAGTATAGATTTTACAGCTTGTGATTACAACTGTGTGTTGTCACCATCTAAGCCGAAATGCTGTCCGTTTCCTGATTGATGTTTTCTTTCTTTTTGCTTTATTTTCTTTTTGCAAGGTAGTATATCACAATTGCTTCCGAAAAGGCAAATACCCCCCGAGCACTCTGGACTAGAGGAAGGAGACTTTCCCAATCTGAGGATCTAATTGGTGGACAACCAGTGTTCATTTCGCTACCCCCGGTTATTAGACGGAGGTCAGTCAGGCACAGATCACCAATTCAACAGTTTCCAGTTCAGTGATCATTATCTACATCACATGTGTGTAGTAGGTTTCAGTTTCCTGTCTCAAAAAGAGAGCATTCACCAGATCCGATAGACCAGCCCCCTTTAGTCAGTATGAATATGGAAGACATGATGCGTCAACTCTAACAGACTATGGAGGCCATGCAACGGGATGCTGCCCGCCAAGCAGAGGTTTCCGCCCCCCAGACCGAGGTCGTGCTTAGTAGGTCGAACTCATTGCCGGGTTACAACAACAGCAACAAACATAACAGGGGACAGCTTCTGCATCCAACCCACCTCTAGTGAAAATTCCTATACCAAAGGCTCCTGTCCCAATAGCCAACGCCCAGGAGAATATAGATGTCCCGGTGGATCCCACTCCACCTCAAACATCCAAAGCACAGGCCTACCCAATTGAGGCCCCTTTCGAGTTCGAAGTGGATCCAACTGCATTAAAAGTGAGCAAGCTAGAAAAGTTGTTCAAGAGGGCTCAGGGCGTTAACTCCATTCCAGACATAGAGGATGGTTACACGGATTCGGCAGTGACATTACCAGACTGATTCAAGATGCCACAAATAGACCGTTTTGACGGTTCTGGAGATCCTATGGTACATCTGTGGTTGTTCTCGGATATCCTACGGCCAATGGGCCTCTCCAGATTGCAAAAACTCTCTCTTTTTGGTCGAACCCTGTCAGGTATCGCGACCATCTAGTATGCCAATTTGAAGGATTCAGTGAAAAGGAGTTGGGAAGAGATAGTCGAGGCTTTCGTCACCCAATATTCGTACAACATTCAAATCGAGGTCACAACCTGTGATCTCGAGGCAACTAGGCAAGAGCTGAAGGAGGGCTTCTCTGACTTTGTAACCCGTTGGAGAGCCAAGGCTTCTATGATGACCACTAGGCCGGCTAAGAAGGACCAAATAAAAATGGTCGTCAGGAATCTGCAATCGAAGTTAATGCAAAAGATGATTGTCTTACCCCTCCTCATCTTTGCTGATCTCCACGAGATTGGGGTACAGATCGAAGAAGCTATGAAACAAGGTCTGATCAACCATGAAAGAAAGTAGCCTAAGAGGGCCTTCACCCGCAGTTTGAATGCAGCTACCAGTAGTAGTGTAGCTGTGAGGACCTCTGATGTGGGCATGGTCGCCACTATTCCAAAAACAGCCACACCCTTTATAGGAACCTTCGCACCTACCCCACAACCCGCAAAATACCCACCTCGGGACCAAAGGGTGTTTACCCCGCTTTATATGTCTCTGTCTGTGGCCCTGAAGGTCCTGGTTAGAAAAGGGCATCTGAAGCCCCTAGAACCACGCCCATTGCCAAATCCCCTCCCTCCTACACATAATCCAGCCAAGTATTGTGCCTTCCATCAACAGCATGGTCACGACACCGACCAGTGCTTCAAACTCTGTCATGAGATTCAAGATCTCATTGACAACAAGGTAATAGCACCCCTTGAGAAACCGAACGGCACTACAAATCCCCTTCCACCACATAATCAACCCCCTCTTCCACCCAGGCAAGTGAACCTGATCCAAACCATGGCCATCTCATATGACCCCAGTATATACATCACCTCCTCCCACCTACCCAAGCTGGCGCTTTTCATCCCGGAGAACATAGATCTCTGTATGATAAGGGTCTCCATACCCCAACCTGAACCCGTGGTGGTGGCCATGGTAGAAGAAAGCATACTTGAGGGCGCCGTAAGCATAATTGGGGAAGCATACAACCCTTGCTGCTACATTGTGCCAGCGATCCAGACTAGTCCGAGAGTGGAATTGCCAGTGGGGATGGATGTAAATGTTGTTCGGGAGGATGGGCCGAGTCAGGGGCTGGATGATCTAGCCGAGCTTAAGGAGGATATTAGCAATCTGTAGTTCTTCGATGAACGGGATATGAGGGATGTGGATATTGGTTGGTTTGATGCAAACAGAGCAATAGACAATACAAAGTGGCTCAGTGACGAGCCGGATGTTGTTGAGATGCCGCAATCAGAACAGGGACAGTCAAAAACAGGAACATCTCCAATGGCCGGAACGGTCGATAACAATGGGAAATTTTCGGAGAGCACCGGTACAAAGAGTTTTGCTCGAGAATCAAATAGTGTTCGTACAGATGATGTGAAATAGGAAGCTGCGCTGAAGCAGTTTGAAAAGGAAAAGATTGAGGAAGATTAGAGAACCAGAAAAGCCAAGGGCCCTATGGGGGCAGAATGTGCTGCGAACACGAGAACAAATTCAGTAGAACCGAACAGTTATTTGTCAGTTTCTGGAGAAACTTGGTGGGAGGACGACGACTTGCGTCTCGCCCACACTGACAAAGACTGGGGACAAGCTCTGCCAGATAATACATGGAACACTGAAGAAGTGGATCATATGACTAGAAGTGGGCAGTACTTCAAGCCCCCGATTTTTGGACCAGCCAGAGGCTTCGGGAAAAGACAAAGAAGCTGAGAAACAAAAAGAAAAACAGCTGGAAGAGGAGGCAGTGTTGAAACAACTGAAGAAAATCCAAGCAAACATCTCCATCTAGGGACTGCTCATGGCCTCAAGGGTTCATAGACAAGCCATCCTTTCAGCTATGGACAAGGCAAAGCTTTCTATTGATACGACCCTGGAACAGCTTGTGGGTTTGGTTTTCTTAGGTAGCGCCAACCCAACCTTAACCTTTTCTGATAAAGAACTACCGCCAGAAGGCTCTGCACATAACAAACCCTTGTACATATATGTTGAGTGCAAAGAAAAATGGGTACCAGTGGTGTTAGTAGACACTAGTTCGGCTATCAATGTCTGTCCATCTCACACAGCTTATGCCATAGGCTTAAAACCAGTGGATTTCATACCTATAACCCAAGTGATTCGGGCATATGACAATACAAGTAGGGAAGTGATGGGCACGGTACAGATCCGAGTTCAGGTTGGCCAAGGTCAACAGGACGTCAAGTTCCATATCCTAGATGTCCCGGCCACTTTTAACTTACTACCGGGAAGACCCTGGCTACTCCTTGTGAAGGCAATCTCTTCTACTCTCCACCAAATGCTGAAATACCCTCATGGAAAGAGGGTAGCAACTGTCTTCGGGAATTCATCCATTCATCCACCACCAAAGGTAACCACATCAGTGTTGGAAATTGGCCATGGCGAGGAAGATGTATTTCTCTCAGGGTTTAGTCTAGCTGAGGCCCGAGTAGTACAGAACATTTTGGCAACAAATGAGGGGATGTATGTCAATGCGCAGTCAGTATACCTCATGAATAAGCTTCAACACATGCCAGGAATGGGATTAGGAAGAAGTGGCCGGAAGGGCATAGCTGAATTGGCCGGAGTGCCACATAATCCCCATACCTTTGGTTTAGGTTATACGCCTACCAAGGAGGATTGGGTGAGAAAGGGTAAAGAAATTGCTGGAAGAGCCAGGGCAAGTCAGACCGGGAAGCACTAAGAGCTGGTGCATCAACCTATTACCGGAACCCTGAACAGACGCTTTGTCCAGGAGGGGGAAGACTTCCTATTCTGCGGCTTTCTAGAGCCTTGGCTAAATTCTGAGAGTGGTGTTTGCCCAGCTTCAAAATCTTTTTTGACTTACAATTGCAAGGAGATGAAGTTGCAGAAGAGCAAACTGACCTATCAACTGAGGTTAAACAGTGCAAAGAGGATGAGTCCGAGGGCACAGAACTTGAAATGGGGGTAGCACTGGCATGTCTCCTCTCAGATCCTCAGATCACACCAGAGTGCGCGGGGAACGACTACTCTGTTTCCATGATTGGAGATCAATCGTCTGTGGGCCCTTCTTCTAGCATTCTGGACGCATCTATTACACCTTCCCTTGTCTGGCAATACGAGGAAGGCTTTTTGTCTAGTAGTTCTGAGTCGGGTGGTGAACCAGAATCTAATTCCACAGAGCCTGTAGAGTCGAAATCATATTCTAGTTCCTCTAAGTTAAAGTCCGGTATTCCTGGGGGTGATAGCCCGAATGCCGTTATCTTGTCCCGGTCGTCTTTTTTATTTTCCTTTGAGTCTGTTGTAACCGAAGGATCAGACAGACTGGATGTTGTTAATGAGAATAATGCTGTGGCTTCTGAGTATTTTTCTGTGCCTCTTATTTATTGCATTAATCAGGACTTTCAAAACTTTGATGAAAACGACGAGGAAGAAATTCCTTCGGTTTTGAAACATTTGATTGAACGAGAGGAGGAGAGGTTTGTAAAACCTTTGGTTGATGAAATCACTATAATTAATGTTGGTACTGAGAAGGATCCGCGACTGGTCCAGATCGGGTCCACGTTGTCTTTTGAGGAACTCGAGCGCTTAGTCACTTTATTAAAAGATTTCAAAGAAGTTTTCACGTGGTCCTACGAAGACATGCCTGGGATCGATCCTGAGATTGTACAGCACCGGATCCCTCTTGACCCAGAGGCTCAACCCATCAAGCAGAAGCTCCGAAGGATCCGCCTAGACTAGGCTCTAAAAATCAAAGAAAAGGTCACCAAGCAGATTGATGCAGGGTTTCTGTTAGTATCTGAGTATCCTACTTGGTTGGCCAACATTGTTCCAGTGCCGAAGAATGACGGTAGAATTTGGGTGTGCGTGGATTTCAAGGATATAAACAAAACTAGTCCGAAAGACGACTTTCCATTACCGCATATCGACAAATTAGTGGACTTCACAGCGGGGCATGCGTTGCTCTCCTTCATGGATGGGATTTCCAGGTACAACCAGATCCTGATGGCACCTGAAGATAGAGAAAAGACTGTTTTCACCACCCCATGGGGAACTTACTGCTACAGGGTAATGCCGTTCGGTTTGAAGAATACTAGGGCTACTTATCAGTGGACCGCAACCACGATCTTGCATGATATGATCCACAAATAGGTCGAGGTGTACGTGGACGACATGATTGTCAAGTCCAAGGAAAGAGAGGGCCACTACACCGCCTTGAACAAATTTTTCCAACGGATTTGAGAATATCAGTTGCAACTGAATCCTCAGAAATGTACTAGAGAAATGAAAGAAGTTCCAATGGGATGACCGACGCCAAGTTGCTTTCGAGCAGATCAAGCAGTAGCTACAGAACTCACCCATGTTGTCACCGCCAGAACTGGGGAAGCCGTTGATTTTGTATCTGTCAGTAACCGAGACGACAATGGGCTACTTGCTTGCACAGGAATCTGAAGATAGAGTGGAGAAAGCCATCTATTAGTTGAGCAAAAAGATGCTGGAATATGAGACTCGTTACACTCTGCTAGAGAAGGCTTGTTTACCCTTGGTATGGGCCACCAGGAAGTTGAGGCACTACCTGTTAGCACACTCCGTAATTCTGGTTTCGAGATTAGATCCCATCAAATATCTCTTCGAGAAACCAGCGCTTACGAGTAGGCTAGCCCATTGGTTGCTTCTTCTTTCCGAATTCGATTTGAAGTATGTGACGCGCAAGTCTATGAAAGGGTGAGCGGTAGCGGAGTTCCTAGCCGATCCCCCAGTGCAGGGAGATAAAGCAGTAGAGTATTTGTTCCCAGATGAGGCCATTTTGCATGTTGAAAAAGAAACTTAGACTATGTACTTTGACGGAGCGTCAAACCAGTACAGGTATGGGATAGGGGTGTTGCTGATAGCACCCGACAATTCCTGTATACCCTTAGCTTTCAAACTCTAATTCAAAGTATCAAACAATGAAGCAGAGTACAAAGCATGTATCACTAGACTAGAAGCCGCCCTGAAACTAGGGGTAAAACGGTTGGACGTCATCGGAGACTCGAACTTGGTTGTATCTCAAGTAAAAGGAGATTGGAAAGTTAAAGAAGAAAGAATAAAAATCTATCACCAAACCTTGGACGTTCTGATTCCTCGGTTTGAAAAGCTGAACTTCGCCCATCTGTTAAAAGAGAACAACAGGTTCGCCGATTCTTTAGCAACTCTATCTTCCATGATAGGCATCCCTTTTGGAGTTCGAATGCGTCCGATAATTATTGAACAGAAGTTTGTGCCAGCCTACGAGTTGATTGTTGCGATTGATGAAGTACAAGATCAGAACCCCTAGTATCACGATATCTAGAACTTCTTGGAGAAGGAGGCTTATCCACTAGGGGCAAATGCCAAAGACAAAAGAGCAATACGACAAATGGCTGCACAGTTCATCATCTGCAGGGGTAAATTGTACAAGCGGGGTCATCTGGGAATGCACAAGTTGTGTGTTGATGAAGAAGAGTTGAAGCGCTTAATGGAGGCCATCCATGGAGGAGAGTGCGAATCGCACATGAACGGAGTAATGCTAGCTCGGAAGATTCTCTGGTAGGGTTACTACTGGTCAACCATGGAGGAGGATTGTATCAGTTTTGTTCAGCGATGCCACAAGTGTCAGATCCATGCAAACCGCATGAATATTCCGCCGTCGATGCTATATAACATGTCTTCTCCGTGGCCTTTTTCAGTCTGGGGAATTGATGTCATTGGGGCAGTTACTCCGAAGGAGTTGAACGGGCATGAGTACATCTTAGTGGTGATAGACTATTTTACAAAGTGGGTTGAGACCTAATCCTATGCAGTGCTGAAAGCGTCGCATGTAGCCAAGTTCATCAGGAATAACATTATCTGTCGGTATGGGGTCCTGAATGAGATCATCTCGGATAATGGTTCTCACTTTAAAAAGGAAGTGATTGACTTGTTGGAGAAGTACAACATGGCTTTTCATAAGTCATCGACCTATCGGCCGCAAACCAACGGACCTGTTGAGGCCGCCAACAAGAACATCAAGCACATTCTGCAGAAGATGGTGGAAACCTACAGGGACTGGCCAGATAAGCTTCCATTTGCTCTTTGGGGCTATCAGACATCAATTCAAACTTCTACTGGGGCAACTCCGTATTCCTTGGTTTATGGGATGGAGGCTGTTCTGCAGATCGAAGTTGAGATTCTGTCACTGCGGGTCATGGCTAAGTGCCAAATAGCGGAAGCAGATTGGCAACGGAGCAAGTTCGAAGAACTCATGCTATTCGACGAGAGAAGGCTGAAAGCACTGTACCACGTTCAAGGTTATGAACACAGGATTGCCAGGGTTTTCAACAAGAAAGTTAAGTCCACGAATCTGAAAGAACAAGATTCGGTGCTCAAAGACAACCGAGCTCCCATACACGGCCCGAGGGGCAAGTTTAGACCTAATTGGACTGGTCCTTACATCATCAAGTCAATCTAGTCGGGTTGAGCTGTAATTCTTATGGACCTGGATGGCCTTGAATTCTTCCAACCAATCAACATGGACAAGTTGAAGAAATACTATCCCTGAGTGGCTCGCTAGGTCGAAAATCCGAAAGGGCAACCTAGGCAAAAGTTAAAGCATGAAAAATTTGAAAAAAGAAAAATTGAGTTCGCAAGGTTGAAAACCCAGAAAGGACGACCTTGGCAAAAGTTAGAGCGCAAAAGGAGAGTTAAAACCCGAGTGAACCCGAACCAAACTACGTAAGGCTTGATTCCCATCTTTGGGATACGTAGGCAACTTCATTTTGAAGTCCAGCCATAAACACTTCCAAATCAACTGTGTCCATGTGATTGTTCTGGCTATCTTTGTCTTTTTCTGCATCCAAGAGTTCGATTGTGAGCTACAGTGCGTTGTGGTGCCATTCAGACAAGGGGCAACTTTCCGTTGCTATACAGTGCAATTCAGACAAGGGGCAACTTTCTAGTTGCCGGATTTGGTACAGTATAGTCCTATTCAGACAAGGGACAACTTTCCAGTTGCTGGATTCGGGGTTGTACATCTCAGTGATAAATTTCGGGCGTGTCCAGTTGTGATCTATATCGAAAATGGTTTTGAAAAGTTTTAATAAAAGTTGATTTTTTTCAAATTAATTTTTTTACAACTTAAATCATTTTTGGACCAAACGATAAAATTTTAATACCTACAATTTTCAATTTCATTGATTTCAAATACAGAGTTCTCCAACTCTCGATACAAATTGAAGTTGCTTTTATTACATCCAAAAAGAAAACTTGAAAGTACAGATTAAAAGTAATAAACTTGGGGCACAGTCAAGTCAGGTGTTCCTGCGCCCCCTCCTCGAGCTCGTGGAAGCTTCGGATGCTAAAGTAGGCTCGGTTTGCGTCTCCTCTTCAAGCCAAGCTATGCACTTGTTGGAAAGAGCGCAACTGCAAGTGGGAGCGGGGGCCAGAAGCTCTCTCGTCCTCCATGCAACAAGGTACCGAGCTAGATGTGAGCCTTTGATCTAATA